TTTTTTTTTTATTTTATTTCTTTTTATTTTTATTTTTATTTTCTTTGCTTTTGCTTTTGCTTTTGCTTTTGCTTTTCACTGTATTTTTTCACTGAAGAAGTTATTTTAAAATTATTCAGGACGATTTGTGTCCATATATAAAGTAGGAACAGATTTAAGATCTGATTTTTCGATGGAAACGGTATGGCAAATCTTGCAATTATACATTAGGAAGAGACTTTTTTTAACTCTCTATAAATGGTACCTGTTGGTAAAGCAAAACGTATTTTTTTTTGAAGATTAATCGATTTTCACGTTGTTTGTAGAATTACAGTGAAAAATAGACAAAAAACTGTGAAAGAACGTGATGTCCATCCATCGTGTCTTTACTGTTATCGAAGGGGTAAAATAGCAGTAGAAACCATCAAAGAACTTTAAAATATGTTTGGTAAGAATATTGTCAGTGAAAACACGGTAAATCAGTGGTTCAAAAATTTCGTTCTGATACTGAAACACTATCTAACGACCATTGTGACGAACCATCAATTTGCGGCGAATATAATTAGCGAACAAAACGTGGTATAAGCGTTACGCCACTCCAAAGAATGTCGCTAAAAAAGAACCGGAAACAGCAGGAACACTGGGTAGAGGTTTGTGTTTGTTTGCGTGGAAAATACCATATTAGAGTTTTGTAGAGATTCTTTTCAAAATAGGAAGACATTATTATACTTTATGCTTTAATTTTAGCTGGTTTTTAATGAAAAACTATTCTTTTATGTCTACATTTCTTTGGCAAATAAGCTGTATTTATTAGGGTGTTCTGATGTAACGTATTCCTTCTATCCTTTAGAATTATGTCTGCTAGTTGAATACGGTCTAACCTTTTTTTGTTCTCTTGCTAAATTTTGTCCTTCTTTGAATTTCGGGACGATGGACCCCTCTACCTTTTTTTATGCTTTTTCATCCCTCTTAGTTTAAGGCGTTAAATTTTGGAGCCTATTTGTGAGATATTGTATCTTATGGTTGGAATTTCATAAGACTTCCAGAGTTTTGAAATCGTTATGAAACAGTAGTTTTTAGGGACCGTTGTGGAATGTTGTAAAGTTTTGCTATTTTTTCATGAGATCCCTTTTGCTTTCTTTATTGTCATTTCATTTTTTGCAAAAGTTTTAGCTGAAGATTTTTTGGTCCAAACGGGTTTAGTTTTTTGAGTACGGTTTTAAAAAGTTTGAAGAGCAGTGTACTTAATAAAGGTAGCTGTTTAAACTTTAAAGCTACACATTTTTTTAACAATAACTTCATTTAGCTTGATTTCGGTGTTTGTAGAAGACATTGTTTTTTGTTTTTGGTCTTCTGTATACCTTGAGTACCGGCTAGATTTTCAGAGACCTAGATTTAGGGACAGTTCTCGAATAATTTACTGACAATGGCTCATTCTTGTACTGTGATCCAAATAGAATTTGTTATCTTGGACTCCAGAAAGCGTTCAGGTGAAAAAAATTTATGATTTGGCTTTCAAGCATTTGTATCCAAACTTCCTGTAAGGTTTAAATTGCTCGTTTTGTTGTAGTGTCAGAATTTGTGTGACGGGAAAGGAACTTGGATTTCTCATGGTTTTTTATGGTACAGTAATTAGAGAGCCTAGAATTTTGCATTTTGGCAGTTATCATCAAAAAGAAAAGGTTTTTCCTCTGCTGATACAGTCGATGGAAAAATCTTCAGGAAGGGACAGCAAAAGATTGGGGGCGGATTACAAAGCTGAAAGTTGTTGTCGAAATGAGTTTTTATTGTGGATGCGACACTGTCATAAAGAAGGAAGGAGATGACGTTGCAAGGTCATGTTAAGGAGAAGCTTTGTTTGTTACGCATCATGGACCCGAAAGAACAAGCGACTGACTAATACCCAGAAAAAAGGCATACTTTCAAATTTCAGGAGCTTGTAGGAAAGGAGTACTTGATGTGAGTTGGAGTTGTGATCTTTTTCCGGAGAGGAACACTGAAGATAATAAAGATTTGAGGAAAGGGTAAGTAAATTTAGTTAAGACACTGTCTGAATGCAGGTTTGGGTACATTTAATGTTTATAATCGTTATTTAACTCTATGTGTCTGTAGAGGTGAGGATTTGGAAGACTGAAAACGTGTTTATTGTATGGAAGTGAGAAATGACACTAAAAATTTATATATAGTTGTAGTTGAGATAAACTTAAAATTTGACTTACAAAACAGGTCAAATGATATAGTTTGGTATCCTGTCATTATAGAATCTCTTATCTCGACCAACACAAAAGTAACTGCTTGTAACTTTCAGAGTTCAGTATTTTGCAAATCAACTTGTAAAGCGTTTGAGTCAGCGGTTTTTGAGATGTTTTGGTTGAAATTTCTGGATAAGTAAGATGTAGTTTTGAGAGTAGCTGTTGTTCGATGATGAGGGGAAGCACTACAGAAATTTGAGATGTGGAAGGTAATTTGACGAGAATTTTTACACTTCTTTTGTCAGAATTTTCAGTGGTAACTACTGGTTTTGCAGAAAATCAGAATTGGATATTCCAAGTGAATTCAGTTTGAACGCAGTATTTTATTTAGTAAATTTTTTTCAATTTACGAGTAGTAAGATCAAGCAGTTTTAGTACACAAAAAGAAATGCTTTTTTTACACTGGCATTCAGACAATAGGAAATGTATATTTAGTTCATATTTTTTTAAATTTAAATTTAAAGGGATGAGATTGTTGATGAAGTTATGTTCAGTTATCACGGCGTAATTTAGGTTTAGACCTGCGGCAAATGAAGAACATGTGTTTCCGTGACGGTAGCTTTTTTAGGCTTCAGTCATCAAGTTGTTGGGGCTTCAGATGTCTGCTTAGTTTATAAGACTTGGAGAGCCTGATATCTTATCTGGTTGCATGTTTGAAGGTTGATCTTATTTTCTTCCATACTGTGGATGGTTCTTGCGTAATTTACAGCTGTTAATCAAGTTTCTCAAGATTGTTGTTATCTCGTCTTTTTCCTTCCGACCAAGGTCGTATGGATTTCATTATGTTTGACTGTTGTTAAATCATCTCTTTACTGAGGCTTGTTTCAAATTCATATGATTTTTTATGTTTTCTGGATAAATCAGTTATTATTAGATCTGTCAATGCTGTTCCAGGTACATTTAGAGAGGTGTTTTTTTGTTTAGTAATGAGGGCGAATTGGGAGGTATTTATTAGAGCATAAAAAGATGCTCCAAGATAAGTTAATAGACGATAAATAGTATGCGAACTAAAAGTGCAAGGATCACCAATTAAATAGCCGAAAATCAATAGCAGTACAAGATTGAACAACTTGAATTTAAATCTTATTCTTCACTTGA